GTGCTAATGTTGTTTTGAAGTCATACTTGCATGTGATTTCAGACCGAATATTCAAATTACCATGGTAAACAATATAGGGAGCATGTCAGAAGTTGCCACTGAACAAATGTGCAAATATAAAACCAACTTTACCTCAATATTGAAGTGTACAAACATCTCTCTTACACATACTCTCTCTCAAACTCCAAAAAAAAAAAAAAAAAAAAAAAAATTATGAAGGTTATCTGCAGCGTCACTGATGACAAATTTTACCTCTTCTGAGCAGAGAAAAGGACCAACAATAAAGAACGCACTATCATATAGTGTCATGGCTTTACAATCAAATAATAATTTTCTACTGGAGGTTAATGGGGCAAAAAAACATGAAAAGCGACCAACATAACAAAATAGTAGTCAATTTGAACAGACTATATTGTTGAGTTTGTGAAAATTCAAGAGCATTTTCATAAAATATACATGTCAAAATAAGATGTCACTAAAAATCATTCCATTTGCTGAAACAGAGAAAATTTTGGCCAAAGATATCCTAAAAATTCCCTCAACGTGGATGAAAACATCCCAACTGCACACAAGGTTTAAGTCTATATTCTACTACATAATAAGCCTTCAGGCCATAAGCTTTCAGGCTATCAAGGCAGACTCCAGTTACTAAGAACAGCCTAGAAAAATCAGGGGGAATCTGAAAAAAATCCATCAAGGTGACCTGCAACATCACATCATCAATTTAGAAAAGATTGGTTTTATTTTCGCACATTCAGACTTTCTCCTTAATATCATTTCAGAAAAGTATTGTTTGGAAAATATAAATAGTGAAATCACATTATCAGGCAATGACTATCAAAGTACAACACTTCTCACAGTCAAATAAAAAGTGCTAATGTTGTTTTACGTCATACTAGCATGTGATTTCAGACCGAATATTCAAACTACCATGGTAAACAATAAAGGGAGCATGTCAGAAGTTGTCACTGAATGAATGTGCAAATATAAAACCAACTTTACCTCAATATTGAAGTGTACAAAGATCTCTTTTACACAGACTCTCTCTCACACACACTCCATATAAAACACCGAAACTAAGCTTTTTTGCACTGTAACTGATCAGAAGTTTGACCTGTTCCAAGCAGGGAAAAGCACCAACAATAAAGAATGCACGATTATATTGTGTCATGGCTTTATAATCAAATAATATTTTTCTAATAGATGTTGGTGGGGCAAAAAAAAAAAAAAAAAGAAAAGCCACCAACATAACAAAATGGTAGTCAATTTGCCCAGACTATATTGCTGAGATTGTGAAAAATTCAAGAGCATTTTTCTAAAATATACACATCAAAGTAAAATTTGTCTCTAAAAATTATTGCATTTACTAAGAAACAGAGGAAATTGTGGCCAAATATATCCTAAAAACCACTCCAGAGTGGATGAAAACCTCCCCAACAGCACACAAAGTTTAAGTCTACTTATATTCTACTACATAATAAGCCTTCAGGCCATAAGCCTTCAGGCTATCAAGGCAGACTCCACAGTGACTAACAAAAGCCTGGAAAAACGAGGAGGAATCTGGAAAAATCCATCAAGGTGACCTGGCTGCAACATCACATCATCAATTTAGGACAGATTGGTTTTATTTTTGCACAATCAGACTTTTTCCTTAATTTCGATTCAGAAAAGTATTGTTTGCAAACTCTAAATGGGGATCACATTATCAGTGAATGACTAAGTACAACATGGTTTACAGTTTATTAATGTTGTGCTGTTTTAAAGTAACACTTATATGCAATTTCAGACCGAATATTCAATATAGCGGTAAGCATCAGGTGGATGTAGCAAACTTACTGATTTTTTTGAAAACATTTGGTAGGAGAGTCTCTGCTGTGATCAGGAATAAGAGTGAGACACAAAGATTACACAGATATATATATATATATATATATATATATATATATATAACTTGTCTACGACCCGTAACTATACTTAGAGATTGGTGTTAAAAGGTCATCTGTACCACAGGTTAGACAGTTTAAAGCATTCAGGCACAGAAAATTAACATTGTACAAACTTCAAGAAAGATTAATTGTATTTAGGAACAGTATATATGCAATGAATAATAATCAGTGTTTTTATTTTACATAAAATTATTCAATTTGTTATACCTGAATACTATTAGACTCCCAGAAAAACCATTAAGGATTTTTATTTTCATTTGTAACTTTGCTTTACTGTATTTATCATGTGATTGTTTATTACATTTTATGCAGATGTGCTCCACTACAAAATCATTCTATTGCCATCAGAAATTATCCTAAAATTATGAATTCTTTCCAAATAGAGCTTTTCATCTCACCTGTTAAAACTATACTCAATATCGCCATATGTATCGCAGAAAAATAAAATGTTGCAATGTCAGTTTTTTCCAATATCGTGCAGCCCTACACAGTACACTGGAAAAATCAAACGTTGCAATATTTCTTATTCTTCAATAAATATTCACAAAATATTTCACCAGGCTCGTAGCCAGCCATGTGTAAGGGGTGGTTCTTTTTTTTTCAAAATGTGGACTTTTTTGCAGTTATTCACCCCATTTCTATTTGATCATGATGTTTAAATACTCCAATAAGTGGCATTTTAAGCACTATTTTAGCTGGATTAGCTTGTTGTATCCTCTATTTTTTAAGTACCAGAATTATTTCCTAAAGATTTATAATAAATAAAAAAAGTCACAATTTTTTTCTAGTCCCTCTTGAAAATTCATCTAACAACAACAGCCTAATTAGTATAAACAGCAGAAGTCAGTCTGAGACGCTTGAAAAATGTGGGGAAAATATTAAAAAGCCTTTACTGACATGGCTATTTCTTCAAACTGCGCCTACACATTTTGATAACACTTGACTTCATAAGAGTAACCTGATGCAGCTGCAGTTTTAAGGAACAACCATGTCAATAAAGGCTTTTTTTAAATATATATTTTGAGTGCCTTGGACTGATTTTGATGTTTATTCTGATGAATCCCTTACACCAGGTGTGACCAACCCTGTTCCTGGAGATCGACCTCCCTGCAGATTTCAGTTGCAACCCATATCAAATACACCTGCCTGTAATTATCAAGCGCTGTTCAGGTCCTAATTAATTGGTTCAGGTGTGTTTGATCAGGGTTGGAGCTGAACTTTGCAGGAAGGTTGATCTCCAGGAACAGGGTTGAGCACCACTGCCTTACACAAAGAGCAACGACACATTAAGTTACATATACTTTGTATGATTTTGAATTTTTATACACAACCTAATTAGTATTAAACTGTGTACAGAACATCATTGTCAGTGTTGTCAACTAAGCAATTTTGTAGCTAGATTTAGCAACTTTTTATACTACCCTATAGTAACTTTTTTTTTTTTTTCCAAAAAGCCCCTAGCAACAAATTTAGCAATTGATAACATTCATTTGGCTACTTTTAGCAAATTTTTAAAAAGTGACTCAGAGCAGTGACTGCAGGCTTCACTCAGTAGAGTAAATTGCTAGCTCAGATTGCATTTCATAACTGTTAATTGTTGGTAACTTGGGTAGAAATAAATTCCAATAGTGCTGTAATTGCTGTCACTTTCACAAATGTGTTAATATTACAAGTTAAAAAGAGTAAGTACAGATTGTTTAAAATAATGTACCTGTTCATTGTTATATGGGGGAGGGGGGATCTCATCAAAAAGTGTTTGTATTACTTTTACAAATAGTCAATTCTATTTTTCATACAAATCTATATGGACATATTTTAACAAATGTTTTTGCTGAGATGGCCAGTCAATTTGAGAAAACGTAAATTATTTTTATACAACATAAAGATGTAGTTTTGAGTTGATTATGCAATGACGACATCGCTCAAAGCAATATGTTAATTAGAACGTATTTATATCTGGGTGTAATGTTTAAATATAATATAATACACTGCACTTTAGAGAGTAAAGACATGACGGGCTTACGCTTGCCAGATATTACAAGATGACGTGACTAATATGCAAATTAGTGCGTGGAAACTTTTCGGGCAGGCTTTAGCTTCTTTTCAATGGAAATCTATATGGGGCGTCTGCAGACTTGATCCAGGCAGTTTTACGACCCACAATTTTACGGCCCTGTTCTTCCTAATGCGTCCAGTAGGGGAATGAAAGATACATGGCCAAATAATACATTTGTCAAGTCAACGCTCCCAGATTATTAAATGTCCTGTTCATTAATTGTATATTTTTAAATTAGATTACATTAAATATGAACGCTAAGTTAATGTATTAGAAAGTTATATACACACTATTATAATATGCAGAATTGATACTCAACAAATAATTTCAGATATGCAAAAGCCCAATTGCAAATGAATATAGATTTAATTAGAAAAATTAAAAACACAAATAGTTGGATAGTGTTATGGTTAATAGTAGGCTAGTTATAAGTTTTCATATAGAGATATGCATTTTGTTCTATTGTTTATATGTAAAGTTGCATTTTGAAAATAAAATTATAACCAAACAAAAGTGTAATATGGAGTAATGATGTGCTTTGATAATGCAGTGGTATTGACTACCAGACAGCTGCAGAACATTTAGAAAATTCACTCCTTTCTAAAATCCCAAGGACCATTTAGCTACCTGACAAAAACCCATACATTAGATTTTATTTTTACATTTATTTATTGACAACAACATCATTAGATAGGCAGTTTTCTTTAAATGAAGCTGAATCTTTTCATCAAATTCTTCATGCTCACTGAAAAATAAATAAAGTTATGTATAAATACTCTGCAAAAATCCTTTACGCACTTAAAAGTTTGACTTGTTTCTAGACCAAATATCAAAAAATTCTTAATCCCCAGAAACAGTAAAGAATGGCAAATGAAAAGCAAAAAAAAAAAACATTTCATGAAATTTTATATATAATCTGGACCTATGTAAAACATATCAAAATATGTTTTTATATATTTGATTTATTCTTTAAGAAAAATAACAAGTTAAAACAAAAGGACAAAGTCATTATTTATTTTTTATTTGCAGCCACAAATTGTGATACCGACTTTCCCATATTTTATTATTTTCTTTGTAACAAATTGTCACAATAAACATTATAAAACAATGTGAAACTATATAAATGCATGTGCAATGCAAACTTCATAGCTTATATACAAAATGCACTGTATAGCTATATAAATAAAAATCAGTAGACCATTTAAAATTGTGAGATTTCTTTGCATTTATAGACATATGATAGTTTAATTGTTTAAACTAGAACATTGCATTATATTAAATGTAATTGAATGCAATTATGGTTGAGTGTGGTAGAGTTCTGGAGGCTTAATAGAAAATACTGCACTGCCTCCCTCTACTGGACGCATCAGGGACAACATGGGTGTAAAACTGCCTGGGACGTAAAACTGCTTAGGCCGTAGATCTGTCTGGATCCAAGTCTGCAGTCTCCCCTCCTCTTGGAAATAGTTGGCAACACTGGAAAAAAAAAAAGCTGCAAACAATTTATGTGTTGAATTTAAACAAAGTAAATTGAGTAATGTTCAACTTAATTTGTTTAAATTCAGCCCAAATAAATTGTTTACAAAAACTTAAATTAGTAAAGGCAAGGATTCATATTTTAATTTTTTTTTTCTCAATGTACAGAACATGGTTAGTCTACGTTAGTCATATATACTGTACTACATAATTGAATGAATGCGCGAATATAAAACCAACTTTACCTCAATTCAACATCACTCATCCTGCACAACAGAGGCCTGCTCTCATAAAAAACACCCCAAACATTAACAAACACCCTGAATCTAGTTTAATCAAGAAGCGGCACGTCCGCATATACAAATAAACAAATGTTTAATTCAACATTCACTCGACAATCACTGTCTGGATGACGACGATAAATCGACTGAGTGCATCACAAAAACTCTTTAAAACGAAGCAACTGTAGTATAACAGTTTCTCGTTTAGGCTAAACAATAAGCAGAATTCAATAGGGTATATGCCGAGCTAAGTTAGTGTTCTTCCCATACGTATTAACATCCAGTGACCTGTTATTGTGAACTTTTTTCAGTTTTATATGGTTCCTTTTACAGTATCGATGTTGTAATGTCATTAAATACATTCAGTTAAATAAACTTCGGCATTTAAGTTAATCAAGCGCAAAACGAGACAAAAAGCCGTTTGCTCGCACGCGCCCGTCAAAATCGGCAGGATAGCGCAGAAGCTCCATTGAATATACTGGGGTAAAATAAATGATCATACTATAAATATTTATTAAAAGTCATACAAGCATACTTCGGCATATATGCCTAAGCGTGCTAATATGACTTTTAATTTGCCAGTAACCTGGGTTAAGCGCTTCCTGCGAATTAAATGCCAATGCAAAATTGGTGCGTTTAAGGTCTGTTTTCTTTAAAAATCAGCGATCCCCACTGGCTGAGTTATATCTGATTTAAAGTGGGTCTCAGATTGTACAATAAGCACTGCATTAAATTACATGTTATCTCGCCATGTCTTTATAATATGAGCATTTATTTTACCCCAGTAACGTTATTTTCAATGGAACTTCTGCGCTAGCTTGCCGATTCTGACGGGCGCGTGGAAGCAAACGGCTTTTTGTCTCGTTTTCCGCTTGAGGAACTAAATAAATGCCAAAGTTTATTAAACTGAATGTATTTAATGACATTAATACATCGATACTATGAAAGGTACAGTATAAAACGAAAAAAGCTCACAATAACAGGTCACCGGAAGTTTATCAGTATGGGAAAAACACTAGTTCGGCATATAACGTTACCCTGATAAAATGTAAAACAAATATTTTCACAAACAAAACTTTACTCAATTCAAATCGGGCTGCAGGTTAGCAACACCACTACGTCGACCAACAACAAAAACGAACATAATATACCTTTTGTAAGCTGCTTTACAGTTGGGTCTCAAACTCCTGGTGTGATTTTGAGGATGATGTGTCGACCTCAGGCCAAAAAGCTCTTTGGCGGTAATCGGCGTGGATCCCATCGAGTGTTTGGGGCGTTTGTTTGTTTGACGTTATTATCGGACAACATAGCAAACTATCGAACTGGCAAACAGGTGAGCCAGCTGACGTGCGTATTTATACCAAAATCACAACCTGCCCCGCCCCTGCGCGCCGACGTCACTACACCCGCCCTCCACATTTACAATCACGTGGTTTTGGTGAGGCGCGAAATTCAAATGGAGGAGGGCAGGAAAACAGAGGAAAGGCCGTATTTTTGCGATGTATGTCATATATCAAAGGAGACACAAATAGAAAATAAGCACATATGATGGGCATAATCCTTATATCATGATGAGGGCCGAGTTTTCCACTGAAGTAAAATGTATTTGCCTGCCATTGAGGCAGCCGCAGCAGATAGCTACTACAGTATCATAGATATATACACTAGATATCGCATAGGGACCCTGAGCATGCGTCTAAAGCGCCGCCACATTTGTACAGTGCTCCCAGGACAAATGTCATTCAACAGCACTAGTCAAGAAGACAGTGTTACTACGTAAAGATGCTGGACTTTAGCGCTGTCTACGGGTGTAGTAACAAGCAAACAAAGAAAACAAAACAACGGCAGAACATTTCATAGGTAAGGTTTAGTTTTTTACGTTTTTGTATGTTATGAACTTTTGTGCTAACAGGTAACGTTATTGATAATAATAGTCACTTACTGCATTCACCATAAGGCAAAGTAGCACCAACTCACAATAAACACTGGGCTTATGCTAGTTTTGTTGAATAAAATCAGCAAACAATGCAAAAGAAATGACAACGAGATGCTGCGGAACCATATTATAGTCGGCTAGTGAAGGAGTCATTCAACGGAGATTAATTCATTTGAGAGGTGAAAGCATGAGAGGAGGAGTGTTTTAGGACATGGATTAGATCTAATTATGCTACAGTATAAGCTTTTTTTATTTCACTTTTAAATAACAACAGGCATTTCAACTTCATTGTTAAACATATATAACAATATATCCAATCAGCATACAATAAGCAAAATTAGTACACAATAATAGTAATAATAATTACATAAATAAACCTTAAATAATACAAAAGAAAATGCATTACATTCAGGGGGTCAGTCCATATAAGCTGACAAAAGCTTAAAGAGTTTTGAGGCATCTTTTGTTTTTACCTGTTTTATGGATTTATATAAAATGTTAAAATCATTTTTAAATGCTTTGAAACAAGGAGAAACGTTAAATCTAAATTTGTGAATATACAATTTTGCTACAATTCAACTCTTTGTTTTTCATAAAAATGACTATTTTCATGTGATAGTCAAACGCAGGTATTAAATTGTTTATCATCAACCACTTTTACAATCTGTCCCAAAAGGATTTGACAATAGAACAGCTAAAAAAGATGATCCTGAGATCTTTCAACCAGAAAATAATAATTATTCATTTATGGATATTAAATGTAACAACAAGGTCCTTAGATCACTACTGACGAAAGAATATTTTCCTCTTCCTGTTAAAAGAAAAGTTTTATCTAAAGCGCACACTATTGAAGTTAAAAAAGATACCTGTCATTTCCCTTGTTACCTAAAATGAAAGAAGTACATTTCAAAACAATTAACAACATTTATCCATGTAATGAATTTCTTAGAATAAGAATCCATTTTTGAATTCGTTTTTGTTTGTTTAATTGATTGATTGTATGTGTTTTGCAGATTTCGTCACACATAAAGCTTTCTAAAAATAGGTTCAATAAGAAAAAAATGTAAATTAACTTTTGAGTAAAACTTTGATCAAATTTGCATTCAAGTATAATTTTCAATGTATGTTCTTTAGGTGCGTGTACGTTTCATGCGTGTGTATGAGTGAAAATTTGTGTATATTATTTGCATGATTTATGAATTAAAAAATAAAATCAAACAGACATGACTGATAGATGGATGGATGGAGGGATGGATGGAGGGATGGATGGATAGATAGATGGATGGATGGATGGATGGATGGATGGATGGATAGATAGATAGATAGATATATAGATAGATAGATCTTTTTTCGTTGTCAGTCATCTCGTTTCAAGCCTCCTCAGTTACTTCAAATCTCGCATTTCACAGTTAAGAGATTAAATCTTTCTCGCCGCTTCTCCTTTTAGATTGTGTGTGTGTGTGAGCAATACAACATTAACGTCTTGTTAGAACCTGAGAGCGAGTTTATTTAAGCTGATAAAGACAGAAAACAGCTGACTGCGGTCATGTGACAGCAATAGACCATCATAGGACTTTAATTCGGTCCCTCTCTTCTGCTGCTGTAACCCATCCGCCTCAAGGTTGGCCGTGTTGTGTGTTCAGAGACGCTCTTTTGCAGACCTCGGTTGTAACAATTGGTTATTTGAATTACTTTTCTATCAGCACCAACCACTCTGGCCATTCTCCTCTTCTCTGGCATCAACAAAGCTCACTGGATATTTTCTCTTTTTCGGACCATCCTCTGCAAACCCTAGAGATGGTTGTGTGTGAAAATTCCAGTAGGTCAGCAGTTTCTGAAATACTCAGACCAGCCCGTCTGACACCAACAACCATTCCACGTTCAAAGTCACTTAAATCACATTTCTTCCCCATTCTGATGCTCAGTTTGAACTGCAGCAGATCGTCTTCACCACGTTTACATGCCTAAATGCATTGAGTTACTGCCATGTGATTGGCTGATTAGAAATTTGCGTTAACGAGAAGTTGGACAGGTGAACCTAATAAAGTGGCCGGTGAGTGTAGATTTGTGGCCAATTTGTATTCTTTATTGACAGTTGCTTAAAAACAGTGTTGTCATGTATTCACTGAGATGCAGGAGAAATATGAAGCAACGGAGGCGATTTGTTACAGCTTTTTGATGTGCCGAACACACAGCCGCCCCAAGAGAGGCTTTAAATTGATTTGGTTTTTGAGAGATGCCTGCTGACAGTCTCACACAAATTACTGAACATCAACACAGCGAGAAAATCAATGGGACATATGTCGCCAATTTACCACTGTTAGTCAATTATTAATGAACACTTTAATATATAACAACAGTCGGTTAAGGTGCTATACATTTAATCACGTACGGTAATAAACTGTGCCTTGCATGGAGGAAAATCTGTATGTTATGTACACAGGACAACAAGTCATGCTGCAGCAAGCTTTTTTATTATATATGTATACAGTATATCATAAGATGCATAAGAGGTAGTCATTCAGACAGCAACAGCAGCTACAGTTTATAGCAGCATATATAAGGCAAAACATGCTAAAGCATCAGGCCACAGACTACTGAGAAATCAATGCAACACATGTGGCCTGTTTTATAAGATTATGTGATGCAATCAGCAGCGACTGGTTTAATAAAAACACCGGCGTTCCATTAAAATAGTCAGTTAAAAGATAATATATAAAAGCTACATTTAAAGGGTGTAAGCTTGCGTTAGTATTCGGTGAGTAAAACAGTCTTATCTTGTGTATACGATTGTACATATGTCTCAAGGCTGTGCATGCTGCATCATGTAAACATTTTATATATTTATAAATATATGTATATATACACACACAGTGTCAGATGTGGCATAATATTAAAACATCAACGCAATCTCAAAACAATTCGTAACTTTTTGATTTAGTTGGTAATTCAGATGAGTTTGTACGATCTAAAGATGTAGCGATATGAAAAATTCTGGGCCGAAACGGAAACGAAAATATTTTTTTATTGTTTATTAAATAACATAATTTATTTTATTTTTTAATTTAAGTTAATAATTATTCTGACTTAAAAAAACACAAGCCAATCAAATAACCCCATTTTATCCAGAGCGTCATTTTACCAGTGTTGCCATGACAACACAGTAGCTCTATTGCAAGTGGCAGGATTAAGTACTTCATAGCTTGTCAGCACGTTAATTGAGCAAACTTAGTTTTTCTGGTGAGAATGTGCGTTTCATGCATAGATAAGAATGGGTTCATGAATGTAATATCGACAGATATTAGTGGAATAATGAGCTATTTTGAACTTTGATGGTGAAAAAGGAAATTGCCATTTTTGGTTGTTAATTTTCAGCTACTCTGTGCATTCCTAGTATGATCTTATTCATATGTTTCAGTATAAATTGCTCATTGCTTAATGGCAGTTAGAATTAGGGGTGGGATTTGGTAGCGTGCCACTTTTTACAAAAAAAAAAGGAAAATCGCAAGTTTTAATTCAAATATAAATTATTTATTAAACTGTATCGCAAGTATTTGTAAGAATTAGCCACTTTACTGACAATCCAACGCTATCCCATGGCTATTCGAAACTTTTTGATTTAGTGGCTAATTCAGTTGAGTTTGTATGATCAGTTGGGTTTAGGGGTGGGATTTTGTTTTCCTACTTTATTGACCGTCGAAAACCAAAAATGCCATTTTCAGCCAATAATTATTTTAGTATGAATTGCTCATCCTTCAATGACAGATGGGTTTAGAGGTGGGGTTTGGGAGCACGGCCCCTCAAGTTTTCATGCATATGAAATTGTATGTATTCGTGTGAATTAGCCACTGACAATCCAATGCTATCTCACGGCAATTGGTAACTTTTTGATAAAGTGGCTAAATCGCATGAGTATGCATGATCACATTTACATTTTAGTGCAATTTACTCATCCTCAATGACAGTTGGGTTAAGCAGTGGGAATTTGTGCCACACCTACTTTATTGATCCTGAAAAAATGAAAATGCCATTTTCGGCCAATAATTTTCAGTAATTCAGTGCATTCCTAGTATGATCTCATTCATACATTTTACTATGAAGTGCTCATCCTTCAATGACAGCTCTGTTTAGGGTTGGAGTTTGGGAGCTTGGAGCACTGGGTTGGAGTTTGGGAGCACACCCAGTTTCATACAAAATAAATTGTGTGCATTTGAATGAATTAGCCACTGTTCTGATAATCCAACATTATATCACGACAATTGGTAACTTTTAGATTTAGTGGCTAATTTGTATGAATTTGTACAATTTTATTTGTAAAGTTTAGTATGATTTGCTCATCCCCAAAGACAGTTGGGTTTAGGGCCGGGGTTTGGTGCCCCATCTGCTTTATTGACTCTGGAAAAACAAAAATGGGAGCACGCCTCCTTTTAAAAAAAGTTTTCATTCAAATTGAATTGTTAATTGAACTTTATTGCAAGTATTCGTACGAATTAGCCACTTTTTTGACAATCCAACGCTATCCCATGGCAGGTCATAACTTTTTGATTTAGTGGCTAATTTGTATGAGTTTGTATGATCAATTGGGTTTAGGGGTGGGGTTTGGTGCCACACCTACTCTATTGACCGTGCAAAAACAAAAATGCCATTTTCGGCCTATAATGATCAGTAATTCGGTGTATTCCCAGCATGATCTCATTAATACATTTTAGTATGAATTGCTCATCCTTCAATGACAGATGGGTTTAGAGGTGGGGTTTGGGAGCACGGCTCCTCAAGTTTTTATACAAATTAAATTGTATGTATTCATGTGAATTAGCCACTTGTCTGACAATTCAACGCTATCTCATGGCAATTGGTAACTTTTTGATATAGTGGCTGAATCGCATGAATTTGTATGATCACATTCATACATTTTAGTGCAATTTACTTAACCCCAATGACGGTTGGGTTAAGGGGTGGGATTTTGAGACACACCTACTTTATTGACCCTGAAAAACTGAAAACAATTTTCAGTAATTCGGTGCATTCCTAGTATGATCTCATTCATACATTTTAGTATGAATTGCTTATCCTTCAATGACAGCTCTGTGTAGGGTTGGGATTTTGGAGCTTGGAGCACTGGGTTAGAGTTTGGGAGCACGCCGAGTTTTCATGCAAAATAAATAGTCTGTATTTGTACGAATTAGTCATTTTTTTTGACAGTCCAACATTATATTATGACAATTGGTAACTTTTTTGATTTAGTGGCTGATTTGTATGAATTTTTACAATTTTATTTGTACATTTTAGTATGATTTGCTTATCCCCATTGACGGTTGGGTTTAGGGGCCAGGTTTGGTGCCTTATCTACTTTATTGACCCTGGAAAAACTAAAACGGGAGCACGCCTCCTTTAAAAAAAATCCCAGGTTTTCATACAAATTAAATTGTATGAACTAGTTGCGTTACTTAGTTACTTTTTATGATGAGTAATGCATTTCAATATTAAGTTACTCCTCCAAAAAGTAACTAGTTGTGTTACTCAGTAACTTTGTATGGTAAGTAATGCATTTAGATTGTATGTATTCTATTGAATTAGCCACTATTCTGACAATTCAATGCTGTTTTAACTCAATTCGAAACTTTTTTTAATTTAGTGGCTAATAGGTATGATTTTGACATTTTAGTACGATTTGGTCATCCCCCAATGATCTTTGGGTTTAGGAGCAGGGTTTGGTGCCACACCTACTTTTAAAAAGGCATATGTTTTCATGCAAATTCGTACAAATTAGCCAAAAAATTGGGAAAAAAGTTACGTTTTCTCATGAGATCAGGCTGGCCAATCCGTACAATAGTTACGTTTGCTTATGAGATCAGGCTGAATCAAACAGAAAGCAATGACAGCTACAGTATGAGGCCGCAGTGTGCTTTGGCATTTGTTCTTCAAAATCTCTTTCAGTAAAAATGTGCTTAATTCTTAAAAAATGATGATTAATAAACATCTTGGAAAAAAACAAACAAACACAAACTTGCATGACTATAAAATTTTGGCAATGTTCTTTCTCTGAAAAAATTCCCACGGTAGTTGAATATTTTGGTTTAAAATGAGCAAAGTCTGAATATCGGAGTACATTTCCACAGTTCTCAGGTTTGCTTATCTAAATAAGCATGCATTATATATAACCATTGAGTGTAAGAGTAAAGTTTTACATTGAAAGTGCTGTATTTAGATGTCAAAACGAAAGTTTCCTTCACAGAAGTCCTTCAGAGATTAAAATTCAGTTCCATCGATAGCATTTGAAAATTCAAATGGTAAGAGTCATGGCGCAGATGTTCTGAGGCACAAAGTCCTTGGCTTATTGGTCCCGCTTGAGAGAGAAACTCCCGCAGAGAAACTCACTCATGCTCTCTGCTTTCTGTTTTTGTCTTCAGACTTTGCAGTTTCTGCTTCCCATGTTGGCTCTCCTGTAAGGTTGTGCTGCCAGAGAGCAGGCTTATTGTGTAGGGTGAAAACCAATCTCTTTCAAAAGCAGCCGTCAGCTGCTCTACAATCGAGTCTCGTCCGTCCTGCTGGTTCTCTGGTTCCTGAAACACCAGCCCAGCTCCTGCATTGAAGGCAAACTCACTGCCAACCCAGTCCAGATTTCCTAATGGGCAGAGAGTTTGAATGTTAATAAATCAGACCAATGCACTTAATTGGATGTTCATTAAAAAAGACCATAAGATGCTTCTCAGCGATGTAATGGTACACATGCATACAGGAACATTTCAGTATGGGTTTCTTGGATTTGGTATGCATGTGTCATACAAATACAATGTTGTTTTAACCATGCACTGCACATGTGGAACCTAATTTGAAAGTCTAGTTTTATACATCTTAATTTATTTTTTTAATATTTTAAACTCACATAAACTCTTAAAAGGACAGTTCACCCTCCCAAAAATAAAATGTATTCACTCTCAAGTGTTTACTCGCCATCAAGGGTTTCCAAACCAAAAAAGAAGACATTTTTAAAACTACTTACTTAATTACAATTGCTGAGAAAAACTACTCAATTACAGTAATTTGAGTATTTGTAGTTAGTTACTTTACACCACTGGCAACTAGCCATCAATTAAAGGGTCAGTTCACCCAAAAAATTAAATGATAACATTTTAGGGTGACCTCTGTTGAATAAAGGGACTAAGCTGAAGGAAAATTACTGAATAAATAGTGAGAAATTTTTGGGTGAATTCTACCTTTAACACTTAAAATGAAGATTGTTTAAATTACATTTTATGACAATAGGTGGCGACAAGCCAAGAAAAAAAGGGTCAATTTATCCCAAAAATTTGTATTCTGTTATTAATTACTGACCCTATGAGTGTATGTGTATCCATGTCTGTGTGTGTATGTGTTTGAGAGAGCTTCTTACCAATGTACACTGCGTTGTCTGTTACCACAAATTTATTCTCATTCATCCTGTGCTGAAATCCGCCCATCTGCTCCTTGCCTCTGTAAAATCTCTGAATTAAAAAACAGACATGCATATATACTGTAAAATCCAGCCGGTGTTGTATAATATATGCAAATACATGTCTTATGTATTTCAGTGGATCAATCAAACATGTTCTGTCCTCACCACCTCAATAGAGCAGACTGGCAGTCCTGTGCACAAAGCCTGCATTGATGTCATAAAGTTAAAGGTCAGCGGATGTGTTCGAGTCCACAGACTGATTAAAAGACGAACTTTGACCTCTTTCAGTACTGCAGCCTCGCGGAGCATCTCATCTATTGGCGACCAGTACCTGAAGCAAGAAATAACATGACAAGCCGTATAACTGTTGATAAGGTGAAGGATCACAGAGATGTCACAACAATCTCAAAAATAACAACCGTGTCTGCTGCATTTATAAATAGCTCTGAAGATTTATTCATGCATTCATTTTCCTTAGGTTTAGTCCCTTATTTATCAGGGGTCGCCACGGCGGATGCCCTTCCAGCTGCAACTCAGTACGGGGAAACACCCATACACTCACATTCACACACAAACACTACGGCCAGAAAGAAAGAAAGAAAGAAAAAAGAAAGAAATTAAGAAAGAACAAACGAAAGAATTAATAAAAAAGGAGGAACGAAAGAAATAAAGAACAAACGAACAAAAGAACGAACGATTGAAAGAAAGAAAGAAAGAAAGAAAGAACAAACTAATAAAAGAACGAACAAACAAACGAAAGAATAAATAAAAAAAGAATAAACGAAAGAAATAAAGAACGAACAAACAAAAAAACAAACAAATGAACGATTGTAAAAAAAGAAAGAAAGAAAGAAAGAAAGAAAGAAAGAAAGAAAGAAAGAAAGAAAGAAATTAGTACCAATTGAACTAGCGTTAGCCACTAAGCCGACAAAATGTAAAATAGTTTTGTTTCCCTGTGAGATCAGGTTGGAGGATCAGCACAAGCATGTAAAAGAGATGTGTGCCTGCAAAACACATTGTTAGAGTGAGTGAGTGAGTGAGTGAGTGAATGAGTGAGTGAGTGAGTGAGCTTTTTTGTTGTCTTTTTTTTAATGTTTTTCTGTCTAATGGATGAATACAGTCTGGATACCCATTTATTTCTTTTGGTGGTCACTTTTGACCAGGAACACCACAGGTGTAACAAGATTGATTAAAACACTCAAAATTCAATGACACTTTATTTCATACACTGTAAAAAATGGCCGTGATTTCAATGGTAAAAAACTGTAAAAATGCTACAGTACAAATCCGTAACCTGGTTAACGGTATGTTTTCTTAACATATACGGCGAATAACCGTAATTTGACTTTCCCAGAATTCCCTGCATGGGACCTAACTTTTTATGCATTTTGTTAACATTAATATGGATCTTTTTAGTTGTTTCCCCATTGATCCCAATCTAATGTTGATAAACAATGTTTATTTCATGACTTTAATTTTATGCGTGTTACCATACTGGTGCTTATTAGCTGTGTGAATGACACTGAGCACCTTCTATGTGCTGATACTCTTTTCTGCGTGTGGGAAAAGTTAATTGTGATGAGCGTTGGCTCGTTATGTAACTTCCTTAACACCACCTGCAAGTGGGTGTGCTAACGTGTCTAACTGTGTAACAAAAGATGTGTAGATGTTGATCATTCAAAATACAGACATATTACCTCTATAATTAATGAAATACAGTAATTTACCGTAAAAGTGAGAAATTACTTTTACGGTTTGTATCGTGTTTTTAACGGTAAAGTACTGGCAACCACAGCTGCCGTTTTTTTTACCGTAAATTTTATGGATTTATTTTTTACAGTGTAGCGTGGAGGATATCATAAGACCTTGAGGCAATTAAATGTAAAACACAATATTTATGAGTGATTTAAGTTGCAAATCGGTCAGATTTGACCCGAACATGACAAAGGTTAGGTCAACCCTATCACGAGTGTTACCTCTCTGTTTTCTAAAACTCATTTTAGCAAGTTTATTTTTCTTTTAACATGCATTTTATTGATGAAATGTATGGCTTAATGCCTGAAAAAGCCAGCAGCATTACCTTATGATTGCTGATCCTCTAAAGCTCCGGTTGACTAAGGGCAGGTAATCAGTTACAGAGATGTAAATGTATCTCTTCGCTTCTCGGATCACATGTCGTATAGCATCTATATCTCGACTCCGACCCTTCGGGCAAAACAGCTCTGGTGACGTCTATGAAGAAAAGTTCAGAAACACTATTAAAACAGCACTTTTGTTTTATAAGTTTTTTTTTTTTGCCTAAATTCATAAGCTCACTACACCAGAACAAGGTAATGAGATGGTCGCCTGTGTACATACATCATTGTCAGGGAAATTGTATCAGTGAGCTGAAAATGTCTCCCTGCAGCCTATAACATTAGAGCGCTATTCATTTGACTGAGATGATGGATGTCTCAGATGCGTAAAGAAAACATCCTGTTGCTGGAAAGGAGTCAAGATTCATTATGCTCAAATTAGAAGCCAGTGGCCAGTGTCTTCACGTGTGGCGCAGCTTGGCATAGGATAAAGTCAAAGGGATAAATTACCTGCAGAGCAAGTGATCTTTCCATAATCAAATTATAGCCAGGGAAACCATTGGAAGAGCAGTTTACATAAGAAAATCTTTCAATTAAAATGCACAACATGGGCCTATTTCTGCAGAATTGATCACAACATGTTTGTGCAGTAAAATGTCAAAGGCATTAGTAAATACTCTAATGAGAATATCTTTATACACTGTAAAAATATCCGTCAATTTTCCATATATATTGTGATTCATGTTTTTATTTTTCCCTGTTTATGCTTTTGAATTGCATTATGAGACCTTGATCTTTCTTCCAACAACTTTTAACCTTGAAATGTTAGAAAAATTTGATTTTGACATTTATAATAGTTTAAAGTGATATATTGTCTGGGTTTGTGTTGTATATTATGCTACAAAATCCTTGTAATAAACTGCCAGTACATTTTATGTTATTATGTTACTGTCAACGCAGGCTCATTCTGATTATGTACCCCAATATACATTTCTGGAGAGTGCCAAATATTAGGGGAGTCAAAATTAATCGTTTCTTCAATGCACCGCGATGCAGACGCGGACAATTCGGTATCGGTTCAGTAATAATCATAACCGGTTATTACTGACGTCATTTACCTCATATGTCGCGAGGGGGACGATCGCGAGTATTTACAACGCTCTAACTACCTAATACTCATGAACTGTGCACAATTTCACTGTGTGTGTTTGAGAATGAAAGTAGCCTACCCCATCTCTCTCTCTCTCTCTCTCTCTCTCTCTCTCTCGCTTGCTTTCTGTCTCTGTCTCTCTCTCTTTCTTACACACACACAGTGGCCCATTTGTCATGCTGGCGTGACTTTTCTTTTCCTCTCGGCTGTTTTACAGCGTTACTTTTTTAAAGTTACAGTTTATATATCTGACTGTTTGTATTAAATGACACAATTGTATTACAAATAATAGCCTATATAAATATAAATATATTCATACATTTTAATACAAGAGCTGCTGCTGTGAAGAAAATATAAAAGCATCGTCAGTGCACCGTGATGCACCGAAATATCGAATTGAACCGAATCGATGACATGATAATCGTAACCGAACCGAACCGTGAGACTAGTGTAGGTTCACAGCTCTACCAAATATGTCCAAGGAGGTATGTTTTTTGGTGGGGGTTGTTTTTGCGTATCTGCAAGAGGCTGCTGTGTATGTTTTTTTAGATCTCAAATTTCTCCCGTGAGTGCCATTCACACCTGCTGTTAAGCCACCAGAGGCCGCTGTCAACTGACTGACTGACCGATTGACTGACCCACCCTCCTCCTTCCCTAAACCCAATCAATAGTATTAACAAAAGCACAAATTGACCAGGGCCCACCCACTTCCCTAAACCCAACCGACAGTGTTTTCAAAAGCATTTCAGAAAAAGAAAAGGCACCCCTCGCGGCAGCCTGATTTTTTACCAGATTTTACCACATTTTCACCCTGTTATTTACTTGTTTATTCTATTTTTTGGCTTCTGTTTTTGTTTTACCTGTTTTCTGGAACCATTCTTCGCCGGACCCGAACCCTGTCATCATGGTCCACATTACAAGCCCGCCAACGTATGCAGAGAGCCACTAGACAAACTGGTCACAGTGGGGAAGCAGTCTATACACACACTGTAAAAAAAATCTGTTATTTTACATTTTTTTTCCAGCAGCTAGGGTGCCGGAAAAAAACTTAAAGTAACGGCCGTTAAAATTCATACATTTATTGTAAAATAAATGACGGTAAATTACAAAAATGTAAATTTAAGGAAATTTCTGTAATTTAAAGTCTGTTATCTTACGATAAATGTCTGTAATTTAACGTTATTTAAAAAAATTTTCCGGCACCCTAGCTGCTGTAAAATAACAGATTTTACAGTGTAGGTTAGTGGTCTAATTGTGAAAATGAACGATGTCATACCGCACCGTAGCTCTTGTTTTATAGACTAAATGCAGCCATACATTCCTCTGGATACATAATTTGCGATCTCCAGAAATGTATATAGTGCTACGTTTCCAGAATGAGTGGACTACAGTAACCAACATAGGCTTACTGTTGTTCACCCCTCACTCTTGTCAGCAACTTGGATTTTCTAACATAGGCTCATTCTGAAAACGTAGCCCTAAATAAATTTCTGGAGAGCACAAATTATGTAGCCAGAGCTCTGTATGGTTGCATTTTGTCTTTAAAGTGAATGCTACGGGGTGGTATGACGTCGTTTCTTTTTTTGCTTACCAGCTGACCGCTTACCTCCGTATGGACAGTTTTCCCGCTGTTACCAGTTTGTTCGGTAGCTCAGCATGTACTTTAGTGGACTTGCGACAATTCCAGAAAGCAGGTAAGACAAAAACAGAAGCTAAAAATAAACTAAACAAGTAAATAATAGGGTGAGAATGTGGTAAAATCTGAAAACGTGGTAAAAAACAGACAATGGCTTTTTCTGGATTGCTTTGTAAAACAATGTGGTTGGGTTTAGGGGAAGATGTGGGCAGGTCAATTGGTGCTTTTTAAAACCCTTTTGGTTGAGTTTAGGGAAGAGGGAGGTGGGGCAGTTGATTGGTCATTCAGTCAGTAAACAGTCAGTCGACAGCGGCCTCAGGTGGATTTACTCGAGAAGAGCATGTGCGAATGGCACTCGCGAGAGAAATCTGAGATCTGAAAAAGCATACTCAGTGGCCTCTGGTGGATTAGCGAAAACAAAAACTGCTTTAAAAGCTCCTGGGATGTATATTGCTCTCTCCAGAAATGTATTGGGGTACATTATCAGAATGAGCCTGGGTTGAGATTTTCTGTATTGTCAACCTCAAAAATAAATCTACCTAGAGAAAAGGGTTGAGAACAATGTGTAGCTCTAAGCCCCAGTCTTCCCTCTTTACTTTAAAAATAGATGTACACTGGCCTATCACCAAAGACAGCAAAAGAACAGACATCTTCACTGATCTCACCGACACATAGGCAGAAGCGTCTGTATTGTTGAGTGTGAGCTGGAGCGGCTCGTCTCGGCTGTACACGGCTGTGACTCTCTTGGACCAGATTGAAGGGATGTAGTCCCTGTACTGCAGCTGCCAGTAGAAAGAAAAGATCCTGTGCAGGTCCATAGCCAGACAACTGCAGTCATACACTATGATCCCCAGCTCCTTCAGCTGAAACAGAAAAAAGTATCTCTATGTGACATGAAATGTTTTACTTGAAAGTGTGGTGTAATTCTTCAAACTAAACAATAGTTTAGCAGCAAAGAAATAGTTTAATAGTTTGAATATATATATATATATATATATATATATATATATATATATATATATATATATATATATATATGCGTGTGTGTTTGCAGTTAGTTTATTGTCTCTCAAACCATGCAAGATGTTTTTAGAAAGGAGGATAGAAGTCCCATGAAATAAAAGCTTTTTTTAGATGTTAATATCAGCATGTTAGTTTTAACAATATCTATAAGCAGGTGCACACCAAAACATTAAAAAAAATTAGCATTTAGAAAATATAAACCTGATATAAACTTTCAAAGCTTGCAGTTTGTCACTTTCGCTTAAACCACAGGTGTCAAATCCGATTCCTGGAGGGCCATAGCTCTGCACAGTTTAATTCTAAACCTGCTTCAGCACACTTATGGCCCATTTCCAGAATGGTATGGTACGTACGGTACGGGTGACCTTTATGAGGCTTGCATTTCCACTGCCAAAAGGTTATCAATGATACAATGGTAGCTTCCAGCTCCGCCTTTTGGTTCCCTTTTTTCGTGCTAGGTACCCTTTGAAAAGGGTACCCAAAAAGTTGTACGGTACAGTTCACTTTTTGGTACCTTATGACTGTGGAAACGGCCATATAAGCGTACCAACCCAAACCTCACCATACCACTCATTGGAAATGGGCCATTACCTGTATGTTTCAAACAAGCTTGAAGGACTTAATTAGTTCAGGAGTGTTTAATTAGGGTAAAGCTAAACTGTGCAGAGTTGCGGCCCTCTAGGAACTGGATTTGACATGTGATTTAAACTGATTAACTTTTTTTTTTTCAAATCTCATACTTCAGTTTCTCATCAAATCTTGACCATTCAAATGCTCTCTAGTGTTTGACATGCCCCGCCCCCTTCAAGACGCTTCGAAAATTAAATATATTTAAAACCACTTGACAAAGTAAATAGTGAAGGAATGTACACTTTTGGAAGTGTCAAATTGTCTCATGAAGTGAAACCACTGTTTTTTTTTTACAACATTATAACTTTCTTTCCCATTAAAAAAATAAATAAAAAATAGCAAACCAGAACTGATGCCACTGTGCAGTCCTAAAATCTAAACCCGAATTACTTACTCGAAAAATGAATCTGTTTTTTGTGTTTTGTGTAAATAATCTATAGGACCCACCTACTAGCCCTCCTGAATTATTAGTCGCCCTGTATATTTTTCCCTAATTTCTGTTTAACAGAAAGAAGATTTTTTTCAACACATTTCTAAAGATAATACTTTTAATAACTGTGATGAGTCTCCTAGTCCCACCCACTGACCGGCGGAAGCAGAAAGGACAGAGACTCATCTGCAGAATTCGGAACACCTGGTCTCCACCCCTATTGACCTTATTCTAAAATGCGGAAGTTCGCCCTGTTTTCGCGATTGTCTTAGAACTTCCGATTGAGTCGCCTATGGGAGAAATGACTAGGAATAATAAACGGCAGAAAACGGTCAAACTACTTGCTCTACAAACAAATGTTTGCATGACTATACAGACCAAGTAGAATAATATAATAAGAACATATCAAATTGCAAAATCAAGCAGCGTAATGAGCAGTTTTTAACGTCAAAAAATGAATGGAAGTGAATGAGACCGGAAGTCTCAAGCCAAAAAGATTCAAATGGCTGCGCCCGCTCGTTGGCGGAGAATAAGGTGAATAAATCACTGGCTATGTTGGCTTGTATTGTTCTCTTGCCCCTGCTTATTTTGTTTAGTTTGTTCTAGCTTTGGTTAACAGTTGATTTTTGCTAGTCTAAGTTTGAGCATTAGATTTTTTCTATTTTTATTATTTGCTTTTTCTTTAATGTTTATATAAATACTTTTTCATTCACCAAACCATCTTATGTCCTCCTTTGTCATGGCTTGAGAGTTGTGAAAATATGGGTGCTCGTCCGTAAGTTTAATTTGGTAATAAGTTTGTTAAATTAATTAATTTTGTCAATGTAATGATTAATTTGTATATATTTTTCTTGACTAATATTTATTTTACTGCCAAAATCAGATGGTTTGGTTTCATTTTTGTTTGATGGGAGCTTGGCCATTCGGGTAAGTCTTGATTTCTTGTGTATTTGGGGAGAGATTAGTTTTGGAATAAGCTTTTCCCTGCGTAGATATATTGAGGTGTCCTTTGGATGATTCAAAGTATTTTTTATTCAATTTAGTTATTTTTGTATGGTGTAATCGGCTGGAGCAGTTGTCACAGGTACACATTTCTGTTTTGTAGTGGTGAATCCTCGGTTGCTGTTGCAAATGCTGTGTTACTAATTACTAATACCTGGTTTATATTTACTTTGCCATGATGACAGTACATAATATTTGACTAGATATTTTCAAGATACTAGTATTAGTATTTACTTTAAGTGACATTTAAAGGCTTAACTAGGTTAATTAGGATAATTAGTCATTACACTGTATAACGATGGCTTGTTCTGTAGACAATTGAAAAAAAAGTTGTTTAAAGGGGCTAATAATTTTGACCTTAAAATGTTTTATTAAAAAAAATAAAACTGCTTTTATTCTAGCCGAAATAAAACAAATATGGCTTTCTCCAGAAGAAAAAAATATTAAAGAAAATACTGTGAGAAATTTCTTGCTCTGTTAAACATCATTTGTAAAATATTTGAAAAGGAAAATCACAGAAGTGCGAATAATTTTGACTTTAACTATATCGCAGATGAAAAAATTAACAGCAAACTTTCAGCAAAACAACAAAAACTAAGCCAGTATGCCCTACGTTCAAGTGAATCTTATCATTTGACCGTTCCCCGGGTTCGAACTGAAATAGGAAAGTGAGCCTTTAGTCATGCCGCCCCCTCATTTTGGAATACTCTTCAGTCTGAACTACAAATGTCTGAGCTCATCCCAATTCTTTTTAAAAAACAATAACAGTCAATTTCTCAGTGTATGTGTTTTCAAAATATTTTAATGTGGTATAGCTGAACAACTAAACTAGTTTTTATATTATATATTATATTTTTATATTATATTATTTTCAATAATAATTATATAATCATAATTATAATAATAATTATTATATTATATATTATATATTATATTATCATATTATATAATTATTACAATTATTATTATAATAATATAATTATATTATCAACAATTATTATTATTATTATTATTATTATTATTATTATTATTATTATTATTATTATTATTATTATTATTTTGTACTTTATTTATTTATTTATTTATTTTTTCATAAGTCATATGTTTGCAAACCTTTTGGCCATGTCACCCTTGTAAATGAAATCTTGATCTCAATGGGTTTTTATCTGATTAAATAAAAGAAACAAACAAACAACAACAAACCTTCATTCCTTTGACACATCTTCCAAATACTTTTACATTGTGTAAATTCTTCACCTTGGACAGAGCCTTCCAGTTCATTCCAGCACTGCCGATGTAAATGTGCTTCCTGTCCACGACCCAAAAGGAGGAAAGCAGTCGTCCTCTGGTGAGGGCCGTCATGTTGACATAGCGAACTTCGGCATCTGCGGGAGACAGACAGCCATGTGGGCAGTAGTTTGGGGAGCTGATGAGCACTCAACCTTGACTAGAGATCTGCCTGTCATTCAACTCTGGCATAGACAACATTACACATTCGTGGTGTTTTGACCTTGTGCAGAGCCTTGGGGGACTGAAGCAGGGAAAAGCCCAAGGAGCTATGCCAAGTTATGACAGATGGAGGTGTGTCTGTGTGATCTTACTGCGATTGCTTCAGGAAAACATGCTTTAGTAATTCAGCAGACATAAATCAGCGCATCGCTATACAGTAGGTATTGAACATGTCACCATTTTTCTCAGAAATCGTATTTCTAAAGGTGCTGCAGACTTGAAAATTTCACTGGAGGTTGATAACAACTTAATAAATCAATATATACAAACAAAACAAGACTAATTAGTTTATAAATGAAGTTCTGTTTAATAAAATGAAATGACACAGGGAAAAAGTATTGAACACATGGAGAGAGGGGAGGTGTAGAAAGGCAGTGAAAGCCCAGACAGTATCTGAAATTTCGTAGTTCTTCAGCAACCCTCTGCCCTTGTCTGTCATTGTAAATGAATATTAGCTGCTTCAGTCCAACATCTACATTAGCAGGAGGTTGCAGATGGACATTTCAGCAAGACAATGATGCAAAACACAGTCAAGGAAACTATTAAATGCTTTCAGAGACAGAAATCAAGCTGTAGAATGGCCCAGTCAATCACCTGATGTGAATCCAAAAGGAAAATACAAAATAAATCTCAGATTGGATCGACGAGACCCACAGAACAATCAAGATTTTTTTCCCTCTGTTGAAGTTTCTGTTGAAGTTTGTGAAACAAATCACACCTGAGCAATGCATGTGACTTCATCCTCCATATGAGGCGTCTTTAAGCTGCCATCATTAAAATAGTCTTTTAGATCAAGTATTAAATGCATATCAGTTGATTGGCGCTGTCATTTCATTGTTCTTACACATAACTAATTTTTCAGACTGTTCTTTTGTTTTATTTTTATGTTTGTATTGTTTGGGGTTTTACCAAAATCTGGTTCAATTCAATGTCAACAGCTGCTATAGAAATATTATTCCCAGGAAAAAACATGACATGTTCAATATTTAGTTTCTCCACTGTATATATTATAGAGATACAAGTTCACTCACAGCGATCAGCCATGCTCTTCAGCTCAGTGGAGTTGGGTTGGTCACTGACAACCTTTAATTTGACACCTCGAGACTTCAGGCTTAACAATCTCTGAAACAAATATTGACCCTAAGAAAAGAAAGACATTTTTATTTGTAGTACACTGTAAATTTTAATTTTTTTTTGTCATTTTACGGTTTATTACCAGCAGCTGGGGTGCCGAAAAAAAAGTAAAATAACGGCCATTAAACTACAAAAATTTACCATAAAATAACAGATTTTAAATTACAGAAATTGACTGTAAAATATCGGATATTAAATTACAGAAATATACTGTAAAATAGTGGATATTAAATTACAGAAATTTACAAAAAAATTTATTTAAGTAAATTTCTGCAATTTAATATTCGTTATTTTAAGGTAAATTTCTGCAATTTAACTGCCGTTATTTTACTTTTTTTTGTAAGTAAACTGTAAAATTACGGATTTTTTTACAGTGTAGTATATCATTCATAAAACTGAAAACAGTCATTTTAGATGTTGAACAGTGGTTATTACTCAAAATAAGTTAAATAATAAAATAATCATAATCGATGCATAAGTAAGTATTTAAAATAAATTCAATGTTGCTATAAAAACATTTCTAATATGGGCTAATAGCTATTGTTCTAGCTATTGTCTGTAATTTAGATTATAGATTTAGATTATATATTAACAGTTCTACATGTAAAACGGTGATGGTGGAATTTATTTATTTTTTTCATTCATTCATTCATTTTCCTTCAGCTTAGTCCCTTATTTATTAGGGGTGCAACGGTTCAACCTCTGGATCACAGTTTTAGGGTCACGGTTTCGGTACGGTACGGTTTGTGCTATGCTTAGAAAACAGAACAATTCAAAGAACAATAAACATATTTATTGGGTAAGAAACACCTGACAATGCAACAACTTCACACATGTGACTGTAGATTTGCATGTTCTCGCATTAATTAAATAAAAGTAGGGCATTTTGAAAATTGTATGTTTAAAAAAATTGCTTAAGAAAATAAATGGAAATTTCCCGTTTTTTTATTTTACATCTTGACTCGACAGTCTCAACCAATTATTCAGATAATAATTATGTAAACACAACTTAATAATTGAGCATTTTAAAGTAGTGATTACGTCTGTTTACATTATGCTTGCATTACCAAGGCAACATAAAAAGAATTTTTTATTATTTCTTTATGATTTTATTTCAGACAGCTCTGTTCCACCATTGTAGTGAATGAAACTTGAGCAAAGAAACAGGTTACATTTGAAGTATAGTCCCTTTAATACCTTTGTTAGATCAAAATCTTCATCTATGTCATCTTTGCATGAAAAATGTCATAACTGAGTCAATAATACCAAAAAACAGTTGCCATAAGCATGCATACAATCTCATTCATGTGTCATGTCTTGATTATAAAGCCTTCGTGAGTCTTATGAACACCCCTTCAAGTAAAATGTTACCTAAAAACATTTGCCCATCAGCTTTAATTGAGTAAACACAGGCAAACTAACCTGATAGGAAGTGTAAACCCGTGCCCCCTGATCGGTGGAGGTCAGAGCCCAGTATGGAGATACTATCTCAACTGACAGTTTGGCTTGGTCCAAAAGGTGGTTGAGACCCACAGTAAGCGGGAGATGAGACGAACTATTGAACGACAGCTCTCCTGGGATGTTCTCCACAAGGACAATGCTAAAAGCACATTGACATAACAGACGCATTTATTCATAGATTCATGCACAGCACACACAATCAAAATACACTGTGAAAATTTTAATAAATTACACGTTGATTGGAAAAAAAAACAATTAAAGGTGCAGTATGTAAGTTTGAAACAGGTTGAACTTAGTATTGCACTCCTGGTTTGAAACGCACGCAAGCGCAGGTTGCCAGATTGATGACATCAACAGGAGCGTGCCTGACCATCAAGCCTAAAGTCTGATTTAAGGCTGATTTAAGACTGATTTAAAGTTTATTTAGAACTGATTTAAAACTGATTTAAGACTGATTTCAAGAGTTCACACTTAGCTGATGATTGGTAATAAGCTAGTTTGGCATGCTGTCCCGGGAGAGAGCCCCGAGCTCGAAAGATCCTCGAGCCCGGAGCTCCCTCCCGTTGCAGGGCGAGAGGGGAGTTTGACTCGGGTAGTTCTCGAGAACCCCCCCCCCCCCCCCCCTCCACCACCCCCCTCCTGCTGCGTAAGGATTGCTAAGGTGGTGTGTTGCTGACAGAATTGATATTGGTGCTAATTTGGTGTAGTCAATTTACTTAGTCTCATGTTTTTGGGAGTGTGGGAGGAAACCGGAGGACCCGGGGAAAACCCGCGCAAGCACGGGGAGAACATAAACTCCGCACGAAAATGCTAAACGGTTGGGTGGATACCCGAGTCGGAGGCATTTTTTGCTGTGAGGCCGCAGTGCTAGGCACTAGGCTGCCATGCTGCCCTGTAGAAAAGAGGAGGAGAAGGGGTGGAAGGGGGGATTCTTCAAAACAAAGATGACTAAAGGTAGGGTTTAGTTATTTATACTGGGTTAGGAATAGCCTGATTGGTGGTTCATTCGTTAGCTTGACTCGGGGCCAGCCGTGTCAATCATAAGCATGTGATCCTCTCGAAATTAGTTTATGAATATACTTCACTTATGACTGATTTAAGGTTTATTTAGGACTGATTTAAAACGGATTTAAGGCTGATTTAGGGCGGATTTAATGCTATTTAGGACTAATTTAAGACTGATTTAAGGCTGGTTTGAGGTTTATTTAGGACTTATTTAAAACTGATTTAAGGCTGATTTAGTGCGGATTTAATGCTATTTAGAACAAATTTAAGATTGATTTAAGGCTGGTTTGAGGTTTATTTAGGACCGATTTAAGACTGATTTAGGGCTTATTTAGGACTGATTTAAGACTAATTTAAGGCTGGTTTGAGGTTTATTTAGGACTGATTTAACACTGATTTAGGGCTGATTTAAGGCTTATTTAGGACTAATTTAGGACTGGTTTGAGGTTTATTGGATTATAAACCATTTAAAATAAAACAGTTTGTTGGAGTGCAGTAAATGCACTATTCTCTGTTTCTGAACATCCCGGAGTGCTGGAATATTATTGAAAGTGGACAGGTTAAAGTGACCAAAACAAAGACAGACGTTCCGGCAAGTAATGCAGAATATCTGACTTCAGCAATGTTTTTCAGATAAACAAGAATGTTCACTTGGCATGTTTCACATCTTCATTTGTGTTGCTTGCAGCAAACATTGTTTGTATAGATTCTATTTGCTTTCTTTAAGCACATTCTTAATCCCACTGTGCATGTTTCACTGATGCACATTAATCTAAAAAACTGCAGAGCAAGCAGTTAGCTCTCGAATGAAGAATTACAATGATTTACTAATTTGCACAGTGTTAAAATTATTAATTGAGCAGTCTCTTGTGTCTTTCTAAACCCATATGACTTCCATTCTACCACAAAATATAAATTCTGGACAAAGCAGTACAGAAAATTTAAAAGGAACGAGGCAGTTCAGTTCCGAAATGACATTAAAAAAAGTATCATCAATCATATTAATACCCTAATGACTCATGCACATTTTTTTAGCGTTCTGCTCCTCACACAAAGCTGTGGCTGCAGGAACCCAAATCTTTTTAAAAAGTACCCCTATTATGTTTTTCAAATATTAGCTTTCATGCAGCTGTTTGTGAATAAAAGATCCAAAGACCAAAGTGCACGATAAATCGAGTTACTGTCTCCCAAAGAAAGAATCAATTCTTAACCGCCTAAAATAAGCAGTCAGTAATTGCAGTCTTCGTACACTAAAAGCCTATGGTCATTATTGGCTGTCTGCAAATGACTAGTTTGACCCTCAAACACAGTAGCGACATGTCAAGACACCGTTTTCTGAACTGCCAAAAGCAAATCCACTCTGCAAATCATGATCTCAGGTTTGATGTGGGTTGAAATTAATATGACACAGCTGTCTGGCACCATTGGTATTGTTCAAACCACAGTTTTTACAAGGGCAGAGAACACCTCTAGAGTTTAGATTCTGACCCTCAATGCACTAATTTTAAAGCTGCAATGTGTTCAATTTCAATTTATTTATACTGCAGAGCAAAATTAAACACCCTTGAGCATTACATACCAATGACTCTCATATATAGGCTTCAATAGTTTAGGGACATCCATACTTTTTCATACAAGAGGCAGTCATCCATTAGGTCTAATCCATTCTTGTGTTTCAAAGTAAGATTATATGAGTGTCATCAGTGTAACAATGTAGATCCAATGGGAAGCATGTACAGTATCATATTGGGGCTATTATAGAGCCTTAGGGCACCCCACAGGCCAAAGCTACAAAAGAAGAGTGAGATTTGCCATTGTTAATTAAAATACAATGTGTGGTATTAGAAAATAAATTTAAACACAATGTAGATCTCCAAAACTAAATTTAGAATAATAATGGACCTTTAAAAAGATCACCCAAACAAAATGTTTCTAAATTGTTTCAAACCTTTATTTGCTTATTTCGTCTGTTGAACACAAAATAATTTATATTGAAGAATGCTAGAAATCTATAACCAAGATCTTACCGATCAGAAAAGAGCAGACTCTCAGAAAGGGTGGGATTAGAGACTGGACCCTTAATGCATTATTTCCAAAGAGCTGCAATGTATTAAATTCCAATTTATTTATACTGCAGAGCAAAATTAAACACCATTGACCAGTACATACCAATGACTCTTATTTAGGCTTAGATAGTTTAGGGACATCTATGCTTTACCATCCAAGTGGCAGTCAACCATCGAGTCAAATCCATTCTTGTGTTTCAAAGTAAGAGTGTCATCAGTGTAACCATGATAGTTTATGCCATACTTCTCACATATAGATCCAAGGGGAATCACATACAAAATAACATAGGGGCTAGAATAGAGCCTTGGGGCACCCCACAGGCCAAAGCTGTCAAATGTTAAGTAAAAAACAATGCATGAGATTAGAAAATACATTTGAAGCTAATGTAGGAGATCTCCAAAAGAAAATTTGGAAGCTTTAAAATAGCATAATAATGGCACTTTGGAATGATAGTTCACCCAAGCAATGTGTTTCTAAATAGTTTCAAACCTTTATGAGCAGAAAAGAGTAGACTTTCAGAAAGGGCAGGATTAGAGAGACTGGACCCTGCAACATAAGCTCATTCTGAAAACGTCTCTCTATATAAAGTACATTTCTGGAATTATGTAGCCAGAAGTAAATATGGCTGCATTTCATTATTAAAACGAATGATAAGGGGCGGTATGACGCCGTTCTTTTTTGTGCTTACCAGCTGACCGATTACCTTCATGTGGACGGCTCTCTCGCTGTTACCAGTTTGATCAGTAGGCCGCTGCCTCGTCAGTGGACTTGAGACATAGAGAGGAGTTGACCAAAACAACAGGGTTTGAGTCTGGCAAAAAATGCCCTACTGAAAAAAAACAGCCTAAACCAGCCGGGGCTAGTTGGCTGGTTTTAGCTGGTTGACCAGGCTGGATTTAGAGGGGTTTCCAACCATTTCCAGCCTGGTCCTAGCTCGTCAGGCTGGGAGATGACCAGCTAAAACCGGGCTGCAGAGTGGATGGCATCATCAACAGCCTGATGTATCAAGACATTGGTGCTGCCCGTTACATTTCAAACCACAGGAGAGGACAAATTCTTCAGCAGGATAGCGCTCCTTCTCATATCTCAGCCTCCACATCAAAGTTCCTGAAAGCAAAGATGGTCAATTTGCTCCAGGATTGGCCAGTCCAGTCACCAGATATGAACATTGTTGATCATGTCTGGGGTAAAATGAAGGAGGCATTGAAGATGAATCCGAGCAATCTTGATGAACTCTGGGAGTCCTGCAAGAACGCTTTCTTTGCCATTCCAGATGACCTTATTAATAATGATTTAAGTCATTGCAGAGACGTATGGATGCAGTCCTCCAAGCTCATGGGAGTCATACTGTAAATTACATTTTTGGGTGAACTATCCCTTTAAGCTCTAGTTCTTATTTAAGATGTTTTTGACCAGGGCTGCCCAAACTCGATCCTGGAGGGCTTATATTGAGGTTCCAACCCCAATGAACCACACCTGAGCCAGCTAATCAAGCTCTTTCTAGGTATACTCCAGGCAGGTGTGTTGAAGGAAGTTGAAGCTAAACTATGCAGGACACCGGCCCTCCATGACTGAGTTTGGAAACCCTGTTTGTCTTTTTTGTTTGTTTTTGAACAACATGATGGTGTATAAAGTGAGCTATAATTATAGACTAAAACTATTTCCCAAACAAGATGACACATTGCCAGGATGCAATTAGCAAGCTCATGTTGTCTGAAGGTCAAAAACTCAGCGCTGAATATGTGCTGCTTACTTTTTGGCTCTTTCATATACTGTAAAGCACAGCATGTACTGTAACAGATAAGATCACCAGATGATGTGTGTGGACTACTTCTTCTTACCGGCAATTTCTGCTGCAGTTTTCCTCAGTGACACCATCCTCATCCTCGCCCCAAACGTCCACAGCAGAGAATATCAGAGCCACCAGGACAGCAAAGCAGCAAACCAGTGCAAACACAGCAATACACTTCTGCTGGGACTGCATAGAGAATGAAAAAAAGTCTATCAGTCACATCAATCGAACAACTTGGTCTAGGCTGATTTGTTTTAATTATTAATACACGGTTTCTGATTTCAGATCGTGAAGGTTTCGATTCACTGGAAGATTTATGGTATTCAAAAATCCACTTATCTACTCCTGAATCTTTTCTCCAGCTGTAATTTCAGTTTACGACTTCGAGAATGATTGAGATTCTCTGTCAAATTTCTATTCTCTGTCAGAGTTCTATTATACAGAAGGATGGCTGTTTTAAAAGAGCTTTCTTCGTATGCTTGGTGGGATTTTCTAAGGTATTAAGGTAGATAAATCTGGTGTTGGAGAGTGCTCTCTCTCTATGCAGCATTCTCTCCAAACTGCTGCTGTAAACAAGCATCAGCATGAAACCCAGGAAAGTGTCTATAAATATTAATGTGGTCAATGGATAAAACGTGGTGCGCTGTAGGGCGGTTATTCTCAGTGGTCGGGTCTTTGATAAGGTTGTGGGCAACATCAGAGAAAAGACAATATTAAATGCAAATGGTGAATTATTTAATCTTGCAAACAGTAGTTAAACTGCAAAATGTAGCCTACATGGGTAATGAGGAACTACTGTTCAAATGTTTGGGGTGAGTAATATTCTTTTAAATATTAAAAATGCTTTTAATTCCACTTATCAAAAGTACCAGAAAAGACATTTCTGTTTTAATAATTAAATATAATTATTTCTAACTATTGCTACATCAAAGAATTCTGAGTAAAATAAAAATATTCTCACTCTCCACAAAAACAAGAAGAAAATCATCATTAGACAGAATATTCTCTGGCTCTTAAAGTATTAAAAGTTATTAAATCAATTTAGAGATATTTAAGGCCCTTAAAAAGTATTAAAAAGTCTTCCATGTTATTTTGCAATGCATGGTTGTATGCTAAAATGTGCCTGAATTTAATCTGCAAATATCAGGATGCTGCGTAGTTTATAAAAGCAGTGAAATCCTACTAGATTTGACATCATTCTGCTTTGTTTACTGCAGAAACCAAGGCAACACCATTATTTCTGCAGCTCTATAGGCGCCAACCTGCTGAGTTAGCTAGATTTATCAGACTTTTATTCAGTATATGAATAATGTTTAGGTTTTAGATTAGTTTCTGTTTAGTAAATATACTGTAAGTTAAAATCTCGCCAGTGTTTCTGGTTGAAAACTGCTTATAAGGTCTTAAAATGTATGGAAAGGGTCTCAAAAAGGTCTTAAAAGGTATTGAATTTTACTCTCTGATTCCTTTATATACTCTGTTATGTCAGCATATTAGAATGATTTCTTCCTTTTCCCCCTGAATTTAATTATAAAATTTTCCAAAAATGTACAAATATCACATATTTTAGAATATTATTGTACATTTTGGCATAGAGAGAAGGAAAGTAACAAGGATCCAAAATGATTAACAGTTATTGACTGTAACTTTATTTTGATGGTATATCTGAATATTAGTAGACTGTCTGCTTAATATCTGTTGATACTGCTCCTTCAACAGACTGACTATAAGAAACTTTGCAAGTATATTTCAACTTAACCCTAACCCTAACCTAACATACTTAAAATCTAATGAGAATTAGTTGGCATGTAGATGCAACGTAACTTAAAGTCAACAAACGGACCATCAAAATAAAGTGTGACCTTATTGACTCCCAAATATGCTTATTAAAAATTGAATAAAACTTTTAAAATTAAAATAACTAAAGAACAATTAAAACTAATAACTAAACAAGCAATTTTTACACTCCCAAGCTAAACGCCTGGTCACATGAGCTGTCACACAGTAGCCAAGAATGTAAAAATTATGGATCAGAGCATCAGCCATTTGAACAGCTGTCTCAAATGATCATAAAATCTTATCTGAAACATTTCCTGCATAAAAGTCTCACAAAACCCCATCAAAACCAGGAAGCATCAATGCTAATTATGTTCCCGTAATGGGAGTTCTGAAGCCTGAATTAGATACAGTAAACCACACGTAATGATCTGTGATAATGGTTTTGGGGGAAAAAATCCTAATTTATAATCAAATAAATAAACATATAGTTTTTAACAACTTAAGCAGTATTGATTACACCATTGTCTGTCTTTATACTTGGTTCTGATTAGCTGAAAGGTTTGGATTAAAATAATAAAACACAAGTAGTTTCAGTTCAATATGGCAGCATTAATCTGGATGTTATTATTTATTACTGTTCATGAGGCAAAAATAAGAAAAAAATTCAGCCCTTAAGTCAATATTTTAAAACACAATGTCCCTAAATACACATACAAATATTATTTTTAGAGATAACTTCAAATACAGTCATTATCACTATGATTCAAAACTGTTTAGTAATGATTTTTATTACACTAAATCGCACGTCAGCAGTGTTTATTTAAGAGCGCATAAGAAAATCTGTGCTTTAGCGGCGTATATTTGAAGGTGTGCAACAAGTTTTGTGCACAAACTGAGGAAATTGGGACGAAAGCAAAGCGATTTGCATGCCCGTACATGAATACCATCTTGACTTGTAATGCTGCGCTCACAACATTTGTCATTGAAATAATGCCATAGGTAGTTGGAAGATCGGTGTAAAAGGCCTGCCACCACAGCTGGAAAAAAATCCTAAAGGAAACCCTGTCCACATACACTATACCAACTATGCTAAGAATTCTGGCCACTGCAACCACTGTCTACGATCATACCTTTTTAAACCAAGCACATATAGCTTACATATAAACATTACATATTACATTACATCATGAGACTGATTCAAGACCCCATTGAGACATGAGTCTTCGCACTGATCCCAGCCAGAACTCCCTCCGGTGACCTACTCACATCTGCAGCTTCTCCACGATGGACGTATAGTGTTCTCTAGCCTCCGGCACCTAGACTGCAGCTTCCACACAAGAAATTTGGCCAGAGGAGAAATGGTCATGCCCAACTGAGCCTGGTTTCTCTCAAAGTTTTTTTTTCCTTCACTTTTGTTAATTGTTAAAATTTGTTCCTCGCTACTGTCGCCACTAGCTTACTTGGTTTGGGGCTTGAGCTGTGCATCGATGGATTTGCTCTACAGTGTTTGGAGTTTCAGCAGTGAAATTTAAACCACACTGAACTGAACAAAACTAAACTTCAACTCTGAAAACTGAACTGACAGTTTCAATTTACTAGAAATGAAAGCTTTAGCTATAGTTCTACCAGGAAGACTGAGATGTCACGTCATTCATAATAATTTTCTCGTCAGCCTATAACAACCAAGCAAGCCATGTATATAAGCCCATCTAAACAATCTGTTTTGCTGTACTTAGGTGACGTTGCGGAAGTTTCCCTCCATCCTCCCCTTCACCACCACCACCAGGTCGGCCTCGTCTCCACTTAAGGGGTTGGCTTCGCCCTGACTTTATCTTCAGGCAGGATCTGCCAGCCCATCCAGAGTTCTGCACTATAGACGGGGCTTATGCTAAAGGACTTTATGAAAGGATCGTAATGAACTCGCATATATGCAAACAATTCACAATAAATGTTCAAACGTTTATCTGCCTCCTGAAGTCTTTCTAGTAGAACTTCTACTTTAAGCTGCTTTGACACAATGTACATTGTAAATGTGCTATAGAAATAAAGATGAATTGAATTCAATATAACTCTTCAACAGCGCTCATTGAACCAAACAGAGAAAAAGCAATTCTGCACTTTCCACAGTATCCTACAGCCGCTCAAACCTTATTGATTAAGTGTACAATACAAACATGATACGGTGTTGTGAAATATGATTGCTGTAGAAATACCGGTTACCACTGCTGTAATCCACACAGAACTTCTGATTATCCTCAAAAAACTAAACAAAAAAGCCACATAGTAACTTGGTTTTTGCTTAGCACTGCACTACGCTGAACATTTCTCCCTCGAGAGAGATCGTCTCCCATCCCATCTGTTGGCTTTCATCAGAGGAGCGGCTTTACTGCTGTCTGCTGACTGACATATACATCGTACATCATTCTTCTGAAGGAGACACGCAAAGTGAGGTTTAATTAAAGAGCTGGGCGTACATCGGTGCAGATTAATGCAAGGCATTAACCTTTTTACAGTCAAGAGTGGTTTTGGTCAATTAATGTCCTGTACTTTACCTTCACACACACACAAACAGTTAAGTCTGAATTATTTTCCCAATTTCTGAGAGGAGATTTTTTCAACACATTTCTAAACATAATAGTTTTTATAACTCATTTCTAATAACTGATTTTTTTTAATCTTTGCCATGATGACAGCACATAATATTTTACTGAATATTATTCAAGATACCAGTATTCAGCTTAAGGTGACATTTAAAGGCTTATCTAGGTTATGATAATTAGGCAAATCATTGTATCACAATAAAAAATAAATAAATAATTATATATGTATATATATATATATATATATATATATATATATATATATATATATATATATATATATATATATATATATATATATATATATATATATATATATAAATATATATAGCTTAAGAGGGCTAATAATATTTCCCCTTAAAAGGTTTTAAAAATTTTTTAACTGCTTTTATTCCAGCCAAAATAAGACAATTCAGAAGAAAAAATATTATAGGAAATATTGTGAAAAATTCCTTGCTCTGTTAAACATCATTTGGGAAATATTTAAAAAAATAATTCACAGGACGAATAATATGTTTGACTTCAACTGTATACATACTCACAATTGACTCTAATAGTACAGACTCCAAATGTTGGAGGGGAAATGACATTGTAGATGTTCTTGAAGTTTTGTTTACCTCAAAGAATGTTTGAAGTGATGCATCAGTTCAACAGCAAAAGACAGTTGTGACAAACAGTACAGTGTATGTTTACCTCAGTCTGCATGAAACAGGTAATGTTGAGTCGTTTATTTCAGTATGTTGATGTACTTTCAACTGAAGTAGGAAGCGGATTTTTCTCCCTTTTTTTGTATCATTCCCTTTTAGTAAA